CCTTGAGTCGCACATGCATCAGAAACGCAGGGAGGTCTTGGGAGCGACCTGAAAAGGTGGTCCCGCCCTCTGCGGACACTTCGAAACTAGTTGACTTACTATCCATTGATTCCTCGGTTGCCTCAGGTTCCTCGTCACTATCGTCAGAGTATTCTTCGTCCGACGGCTGGGTGTGTGGCCAAAAACCAGCTTCCAGCCGCTCGTGAGGCGGTGTGTGTGGGGGATGGTTTCTGCTTGCGACATTCGGCAAGGTTTTGCTCTGGGCATCTTGGCACCGGGCAAGAATTTCGCGGCGTTGCGTCTCTCAGCCACGATTCGCGGTACTGTACCGGGGCCTTTAGATTCCATTTGACTGGACTCTGTGCTCACTTTCAAGGACTGGAGACTGAGAGTTTCTTGCCAAACCGCGGTGTATTCTCTCCAGATGGCGGACCAGATTTGTTTTCGTGTTGTTTTTGTTATTGTTGTATTCAAGGCAGTGTCTCTATCCATCCATGCCCTGGGCGACTTCCATAGACGTCTGACTCGTCGATTGGTTCTGCGAAACATCCATAGAGACTTGACACATTGATTGGTTTCGTTTGGATAGTCTTGAAATTGACTTCGCATTGCCTTCTCGTATTTTCGAGTGATTAAGTGGTCTTCCTATCGGTTATCCTGCATACCCGACCGTCAGATCTTCGGGCTCGGTGACATGCTGGTTAGCCAGTGTGCATGAATGTTCCATGATAGAGTTGATTGGGTGGCGTGGGTGGTTTTCCTGGCTACATAGCCAGGAGTATTGCCCGTGATGACTAGCATCTTGGTAGACATATTGTTGATATCCGCATCGACATTGGCATTCTTTGTTATTAGAGTTTGGGACTGCTCATGTCCAGATGTTACTCAACCTGTTCGACCCATGTCGCCCAGTCCTCCTTCCGTTCGGGTTTTGAGATATCGGCGATCAAATTTAATTTGGTCGAGGCGAGTGAAGAGATTGCGTCGGTAGGCATTATGGGCTCAAATTTTTCGCGCTCCCCTAGCTCATAATCTGATAAGACAGTGTTGTAAATTCCAGCAACTCCAACTTGGAGCTGTTTCCCTAGGGCGTAATGACAATGTGCGGGCCCTTAACAGTCTTCAGTACTGTTTTGGCATGGATTTGACTATGTGCTTCATGACCTTACTTAAAACATCAAGAACAGATTTGATACGCTTTCTAGCTCTCTTTAGGTTAATCAAACATGCGGCCAAGGCATGCTTGGTTTCCAGAGAAGCGCGATGGCGGCGTCCTAGTCACATTCAATTCCCAGCATAAGCTTCTTGGTATAGTGGAATAGCCAGCTCATTTTGACCGTGATCAGCATAGTTCATAGCAACGTAGTAAATGGCCCTCAGCAGGAGCCGGTGCGTTTGGTGAAGCATCTTACGATAGCCCTCAATAGCCACCAGGTAGCATAACCTTGCAGATCTATAGCTGAGACGCTTCCAGGCATTGCCCAGGTCGATGGCTATCTCCAATGTTCCAAAATGTGCCAGATCCTGCGAGTTCAAGCGTTGTTCAAAGGCTCTCCAATACAGCTCTTCCACGCTGGTCATTTCTCCTTAGCAAGTAAAAAACATTTTGCGAGCTCGTAGGCCGCATTTGCTGGTGGGTCACTGTTCGCGCTATGTTCTTTCTCTCTGCTAGCAAGGGAAGACTCTAGCAGTACAGGCTGGGAAGCGCCTCTTTAATGCTGATTGGGCAGATAGGTGGTCTTGAATTTCTCTCCTCCAAGGAAAATACAGGAAGAATATCGACAAAGGGGATGCCCGGAGTGTAGCGGGCTAGGGTAGATCTCTCATAATTGTGCCAACCATTTCCAGCGCTATATGTCACAGTATCTAGGGCTTGTCTTGAATCAAGGCAAGCCTTTTGATACTGATTTATTGCTAGGAAGAATCCCGTGGACCACCCTTATGTAAGCATACGGAAAGTCTGTCAGACGCCTGCGTTAGGGTAGATAGGGCACCGGACTCTCCAGGCTTTTACCTCATGGAGGATGTTTCCCCTGGAGCGTGGTTACGTGAAAGGACGTTGTCACGGCGGATGCGGTGCGGGCCGGGAAGAGAATTAGAGCAGTCTTGCAGTGCAAGCCTTCTCTGGACTTCAGACGGATTTCATAGTGAGGTTTCTCACAGACTGTTGACTGCGTCACCATTCACCAATCTCGAAGTGATGTGAGTAGATTCCTCCCCTCCTTCCGATAAAGTCCCTACGTCACAAGATCTTGTCTTGATCCAATCAGAAGACGCCAATAATGAGCGCTTCTGTCATCTCGCGCATCCAAGATCTCTGCTTGTCCGCCGCGACTGCTGTACCTTGGTTAGCTTGTTCGCTTGATTGTAAACATGTAGAGGATTAGGTAGACTTGACGCGTTGAGGATCACGACAGTCGAGATTATGGGCAGGGTTGTGTTTTGAATAGAAAGATTGGACAACTGTGGAGGGGTGAAAAGATAAATTATAAGTCACTCTTCTTTCTCTCAAGGACTGACTTTATATACAATAAATTCCGATGCTCCCAGCCTTCCGTTGAGGAGCCCAACCTCTTTCCAACCTCTTCGCCAGCCTTTTATCTGGCCACCCTAACCTCTGCATATTATTTGTCTTAGTGCGTAGGGCAAGTTGGTGCTGGAAGCTACCGAGAAGCAACATGACCAGCGTCGGCTTAGTCACAACAGGTTGCCGACTTCTCAACCCTCTGATTGGCTGTCGAAGCAGACGGCTGAGAAATTAGCTTTTCGCAAAAATCCCGGGGGACAACAGGTGGGTCCAACACGTGCACTGAACGCACCGAATTTCTACCCCAGAAAATCCAAGAAAATACGCTTTCCGCAAAAGACCGGGTGCACACAACGGGCCATAGCAGTCAATCAACTTTGGGAGTAGCCATGTGGCTTTGTACTCTCATTCCCTCATCTTTATCCTATCTTGTTTCGAAGACCAACTCGTTACACCCTAGAGAGATAGACGTGGCCGCATCCACAGCTCACTGCTACAACTTTTTGGTGTAACTTCCGACCAGCACGAAAATCATGTTGGTTGATCGGAGATATATTTCCACGGAGACTGCGCTACAGATAGCGAGCTACCTTGAAGATAACCATGGCTCATTGCTGAACTTCATCCTGGTCTGTAAGAATTGAACAGATATAGGTATGGGTGTGCTTTGGAATAACGTTAGCTCTGATGTCTTTGCCAAGATCACCTCTGTCGAACGGAGGCAATTCTATGCGAACAAGGTGCGACATCTAGACATTGAGACAACTCGACATCGGATGCATAAAGAAACAAACCTTCTATTGTTCCCGCGGCTTAAACGGATTGAGGTTTATTTAAGCCCCGCAGTCTATAAAGAGAATCCTGTGAGTCAATACCTACAGCCAAACCTGCAGGAATTAAGATTCGTACTAAAGCCTCCCACATTCGGCTGGAAGATAGACCTTGAGATTTTTGACGTCAATCTTCCTGCTCGCTGTCCTCGATTAAAGCATCTGAGCCTCAGTCATGATTTACTTAATCGGAATAACGTCGATTTATTCGGTCTATTGGATACATTCCAACATATTGAACTGTTGAATGTTCCTGGACTCAATATAGATGACAATGAGGCAAGTTCACCCAGTATACCAGGCTTCGAAGGTTCGCTGCATCTGGGCGCCCCTTCCAATGGCGTCAAAGGCTTGCTTCATTGAACGAACCTACTTTTCCCAATCTCACGCACTTGCATATTCGTTTCCCCAGAAATTTCGTGCCTCCCATTTCAACTATATTTGGAACTCGGCTGCAGTCCCTTGCGATTCAAGTCGATATCAAACCTGACGACCAACTCTTCGGAAAGCTTGGTAATCTGCTTGCTCTCCAGTTCTTAAGTGTCGGAATCAATTCTAAGGAGGGTGCACTTGACTCAAATGATTTTGTTAGTCTCACATCTGAAGTCTCTCGAAATCCTAACTGTCTATCTCCCTCAGGCACTAGTTCTATTACTATTCCCGATTTACGAGACGAACACTTAGTCAGCATATTCGAAAATATGCCAAAACTAGAATCATTTAGGTTGCACAGCGCTACTCTTCGCCCCATTGGCATCAAAAAATCTACAGCACTAGGCAGAGCATGTCCCAAATTAGGTCATGTAATCTTCCCAGCAAATGTAGTTATGTGTCTTCTACCCGGGCCCGATTTTCCCATGCCTCAGGGTTTGGGTTACAGACGAAATTCTGCCTGGAAAGTGAGTATCGTCACCACAATAAGATAAGAACGCAAAATCTCGAAGCTAACTGGTTACTGCGCAGTATCATTAATGAATCCGAGGGGGAGATGGCCGCCAGAGTCAGTGCCCGCAAACCCAAGTTGCACGCACCAGATCTAGGGTCTATATGCGCCAAGAGTAGTTCTATGTGTTCGAATGTTAATCAGTATCTTACGGCTCAAGGTTCGCGCAAGACAGTGTAATAGTGTCATGCCTTTGGGCTATGAGGAGAGCCCCAAGGAAACTTTGTCAAATATGTAGCGATTCTTGGAATCAAAATGTATCATCGTTCTAATAGGCCCTTTTCATATACCAGAGCTCCGAAATTTAGCAGTTCCCGCATTCTGAGCAGCCCTACATTCTTCACAAGGTCACACCAGGCACATCGTACGGAATGTGGAAAACTCCGTGATGATCAATACAACCTCCCCTTGTCTTCCTATCTCTCGGGCAGTCCCTCTATAGAAGAGGGCGTCTGACTGGCAAACACCACAAACAACGTTGCCGACAACCGTCTCAAATGTAATTGCATTTTACACTCATCCCACCTCCACTACTATGATCGCACACTAAACACATCAAGTTCGTCTCACAAGACACTCGTAAACTGCATCATATCTCCCTCCAAAGTCATCACCATAAGCCCTTTGAATCAAAACTACATTCTGACCTCATTGAACCTGGTAGTATATATTCACTTGTGCCACGTGTCTTCATATAAATGGGCTTGTGGTCTAGCGGTATGACATCTTCTTAGCATTGTGGCGATTAGTCATATGTGAAGTGGAGAAGGTTCCGCGTTCGACTCGCGGCTAGTCCAGTTTTTTTTGTCATTTGGGTTCGCTTCACAGCATGAACAACTCTGTTTGCTGGGCTAGATTCCTCCTTTTGAAACATTCGCGGTAATGGTTTTCGTGAAGGATGAGTGCTGGGCAGAATTATTTCCGACTCGCAAAGGTATTTCGCACACAAAGACAGAGGTGAATGTGGTGATTTTGGTTTGCAGTTACTCATTCCATCAATGCCTTATATTATTCTACATTCTTCGTGAGTGAAGTGCCTCAGAACCGTCTACATAGGTGTAGAAATGTTTTATGTACAATCTTTCTTCCTAAGCAACATCCATCAAGGCTTCAATTGTAATCTCTGGGTCGCACCACAGGCCTGGGTTGTCCTTAAACTGCCAAAATCTGAGTCACGTTGACTCGTCCTTGCAGGCCTCCAAGTTCAGGACGATGGTCCACAAAACGTCTTTTGATTGACCCGAACAAATCGAAAATTCCAATTGCAGCGTACCTAAGCGTCTTTGTGCACCAGAAAAAACGAGCATGGTCGTATTCCTCTCGGCTGATCAAATTGTTGACCTCTCGGGGCCAGTCAGCTTCCTCGGCTTCCATCAAAGCCGCCGGTCGTGTTGAAGCCAAAGCGACTGTAGGGCATTGTCTACAGGACATGTGTTGGTGGCTTGAAACTGCTCGTTCGGGGCATCTGATCAAGTCTGCGTCATGGCGCTGGTAATGGACACATGATGGCGTGCATGGTCCGCCTCCACCCAGTAACATGCGTTCTTATCGCGATTGGCACAGCCGCCAGCTGCGCAAACCTGCGTTGGCAAGGAGCTTGGGAATGACTGTCGTCGTCCAAGAAGGCTATTACATTGCTCTATCATTCATTCTACTGCCGCAGTTTACCCTTCCTTCGATCCATTGTTTCGTTGAAGGTTAATGTTTGTGCCTTGGCGATCATTTCAGCTCTACCTTCCATCTTTCTCCGCACATCTTGCGTCTTTCTCTTGCAATCAATGTCGAGCCACAGATGGTGTGGGAAGTTGGACGAAACACACAGGTTGCGTGCCATTTCCACGATAGTGCACCCGCTCCGCTCGGTGTGCCCGTTCTGAGCTTGTGTAGAAACAGTTGCCAAGATATGTGATGATCATGGAGCAATCCTCGCCAGCTAAAAACTGTTTAACACATCGGACTCGTGGTCGGTAATCACAGTTATGTCAACCTCCTCGACGCATGTATGCCATTGTTGAATTGAGAAGTCCTTGTTCCTGTGCTGTGTATAGTGTCTGGGTGTCGGTGAGTTTTCTTGGAGACATAGGCCACGAGGTCGAGAGTTTCCCTGTTGTCGGTCAGCGGCCTTTGTTGGTGTTTTGGGCTTGATCACCCCCCAGAAAGATGACTCAAGCCGGCCGTTTTCCACTTCTTTGAGGTTTGAACTGAGGGTGTGGCGGATGCTGTCTACCTGCCGTCCCACAAAACGGACATCTTTGCTTGGGAGCAGCTCGTTGAAGTCTTCTTCTTCGGCAAAGGAGGCTTCCTCCTCCCATACTGGTTGCGCATTCCGGGTGAAACTGTGGCTAAGAGATTGATAGCATCCACCGTCTACTGATCCATCGTCCGGCAAATCCAGGCGAAGTGCAGCGTGTGGGAAAAGCAGGGTGATCCAAGGGACATGTACCTTGTTATTGGAGCGCAGGCGGAGTGGTTGGCAGCAAGTATCAAAGCTCAAGGCCAGAGAGCGGGCGGGAATCCTTGATTCGAAAAAATGATGTAGTGTCGGCGGGTCAATGCCCACCTAGAAGACGTCGCCCCAGCGCATGCAAATGACAAAAGCCCGCTCAAGTCGAAGGCTGCCCTCCAAAGACTGGGTTGTTGCAGGTGAAGCGATGGCTTTGAGTCACGCTGAGACATCCCGCCTTTGTTGGCCTCCTGTGGCGTTGTGCAGCAGACTGGAGCTATGGTCAAGATGAGGAGTTGCACATCTAATACCGTGTCGCTTACGTGTGTAAGCGAGGGACATATTCTGGGATACACGCGGCTGGGTCCTGGCTAGTACAGTGCCGGGCACCGCTCATCCACTACCACCCGCATATCCTAGTGGTGGTGAATGAAGAGGGTAGTGGATGAATGTACGAAAGGTGGATTGCAGCAGCGTGCAAGTTTTAAAGTCGGTGCTCAGGGGAAATTTCTTGGCACGCCAAGACCAACCCCAACTTCGAGATTGGACCAATCACGAGCAGCAGGAGCGCCAACTGGGCGATTGAAGTTGGCTTCGATGGAAACGAGGTTCTAGAAACCCAAGTTTCACGTCCCGGACGCTGATATGAAAACGCGCGGTGACTTTTCCCACTTGGAGAGGGGTCGGCACTGCAATTTTCCATTGCAAGAAACGTGAGACCCCCTTTGTTTATTCTTTCGGATCACTATCTGCCTGACTTCCCTCCCATCATCTATCCGCCCAATACATCCCTAACCCTCACCCTTTCCTCCCTATCCAGCCTCCACTTCACACCCGTAAGCTCCTCAACCTCCTCTTCCGTCTTCACCAAATTTAACGCCGCCCATTCATCCGCTTCCATGACCAGGATATTCAGCATCTGCGTCAACTTCCTAAAGCCCTCCCTCAACTCATACGAGCCCTCTCGCACGATAACATCAATAACACCAGCGAGATCCCTCTCAAGCGTCAGCGCGCCAAGGTCCGTGATCCTACCCTGCAGGGAGAAAACCCTCTCTTGTAGATACTTCGCCGTAAGGGTGACCGTATCTCCCAACACCCTTGCGTAGTTACTTGGTGTTAGCAGCCTCTTTAGGGGTGACATGAACGCTGCCCAACCACGCTCAAACCGATGGACGACGTGCAAAGCATCCCTATCCTCGTCGTCATCGTTGTGTGTGAGGGCATAGTCAGCGTCTCTGAACGCATCGGCAAGGACAGCTCTGAGGCGGAGTCTGACGACTCGTTTGATGAGGACCTCGACGGCGTCCTCGATGAGCTCGGTTGCTTTTGTTACGAAGCTGGTTTCGATGGCATGGAGGGCGTTGTCGACGAAGACGGCATCATGGGCAAAGGGGAATCGGTCTGCGAGATTTGGTTCGTCAGAGGCAGATGCTGAGGCGGTGTTGACGACAATGCGTCGGATATAGTCCCCGGATACGTCTAGGTTGTTTAAAAGTACGCAGAACTTAGCCACCACGTGTTCCGGTGGCAGGCTGTTCTGGGTTGCTCCGCGGGGGAAGGCTTCGTCTTTCATTTTGCGCTGGATGAGACCATAGAAGTCGGTTGATAAGACGCGTCCGATCGAGGGGATGACGCTTGCGACGACTGCGCGCTGGGCGGTGGCGAGGGTTCGTTGGATGGACTGCTGGGCATTGTACATGCTGTCGTCGACGGAGGAGGTGATGTAGGGCGGAGGAGAGGCGATCGGTTTCGAGGGGTTGAGGGTGAGATCCGAGGGCATCTCGTCGAGCTGAAAAGCCTTTTCCACCGAGTGGCGGAAGAGGAAAACGGCCATGGCTGTGTGCGGGTTGATTAGATGAGTGGTGACTTTGTTTTGGAGGCTGCTTTGAGATATAAAAGTAGGAACGGTGAGGACGGAATCTTCACTTTCGGCTTCGCTTTCACCGCGACACTTTGTTGCGAGGAATCGGGTATAGAGGGACCAGCGACTGAGCATCATGGCGCTCTGATTGAGGAGAGCATCAATTTCTTTGGGATCGATGCTGGAATTATCTTCGCTGACTCGCCCCGGCGCAGGGGAACCACGGCCGGACCTTGACCCGGAGATGGCGGGATTCAGTAGGCCCTGGGCAAGGAAGTTGAATGGATAAGCTTTTATATCGGTCAACTTGCGGGCTACGTTCTTCTCTTCAGACCAAGTGTCCAGGATTATGCCACCTTGGACGTCAGCTTCTACCTGTATGCGTTCAATTACTTTGGTCATGCTGCCGGCGCCATAGTGGCGTTCAACCAGGGCTTCATGGCCCTGGACAATCTCGGCAATGTGCTCAAAGAGTTTTGTTAAGGCATTGGCGTAAAAAGCGCCGTCTTTACGGTTTGAAGCGGCCATGTTTGCCCGGGCTCGCGAAGAGATGCCGGCGCAGACGTAGCGTCCATAGGCGTCCAAGCCAATGGCTGAACGGTCAATCAGTGGGAATAGCTTGAAGAAACGGGCCACATTAGACCCGTCGCCAGACTTGACGGCCTTTTCAAACTCGCGCACAAAGAGGCCGCAGAGGCTTTCGGCTGCAGACTCGAGGGTTTGGCGAGGGGTATCTGGCACTTCTGATGTAGGTACCATCTCTTCAGCAAAGGCTCCATCTATGATCTCGTCCGGGATCTGGCGAGCTCTATGGAGATAGTTGGCTGCAGCTTCCCAGTCTTGCGGGGCTCCCATAGACCCGTGTACGCCAAGAACACAGGCCTTGAGCTCTGCTACCTGGTCCACAACTGCGAGGGTGGACCGAACATTGTGCTGCTCGCGGTCCAAAGACGTCACTGAGGCAGAAATGCGGCGGGCCGTGTCTGCGGCTACAGACAACGTACCTTGACTCAGAGTTCTTGTGGCCACGGCCTGAGATCTGAGATGAGCGCGCGCTATATCTAGGCGGGCCAGATGTCTGGCGAGGTCTTTTTGGGTGGCCAGCAAGGCATCAAGACGGGACGTTACGGCGGCTTCACGCTCGCCCAGCTCTTTGAGAGCTGACTTGATCTCTGCAACGGTTGATGCATGACTGATTAAGCTGGCCTCCTTGGATCTGATGGACATCTTGTGTCCACAAGACGGTCCGTGGCCGTCAACCAGCGCCAGAGACGAACGACGTGAGGTCTGGCTCAAATTGATTGATCGTCAGGCACAATTGATTAACCCATCAGCCGCCGCGCCACAGTCCCGAAATAGAAGTCGACGCGACTGCGCCCCACGACGCCTGGACAGCCTCCCAGCACCCGGACCTTTCCCTATCGCGCCGACCGCAGCTCCGATTGCCAGTTCGCTGCAGGATTCATCTTGTTCCTACCTCTATCGCTCTA